CACACAGACAGACACACACACACCATTGCACATCAGGATCATCATGATGGAGCCTCCCAAAGACCAAGCTGGGATGATAGCATCAAATTCCCCAGGGAGCTAGTCACACAGATTCCTGGACTCAGGGCCTGGTACACAGGTTGATTTGGGAGGAAGCCAAGCACTTGTGTGTTCAACCACTGCCCCAAGTGACTGTGACATGTTGAAAGTTTGTGAACCTCTCGCCCAGATAAAGAAGTACAGATCGCCCTAGCCGGTTTGGCTCAGTGGGTAGAGCATAAGCCTGAGGACTGAAGAGTCCCGGGTTCAATTCCAGTCAAGGGCACGTACCTCGATTGCAGGCTCCATCCCTATCCTTGTGGGAGGCGACCAATCGATGCTTCTCTCCCCACTCCCTCCCTTCCTCTCTGTAAACACCCACGGAAACATGTCCTCTGGTGAAGATTAACAAACCAAAGTGAGATAATCATCCCATTTAACGAAGAGCTAACGTGCCAATTAGACCTAACGGCCGGACGAAGCCGGGGCTGCGAGGGCCGAGCCCCCTGCACGGATTTCGTGCACCGAGCCCCTAGGAATAATAATAATAATAATAATAAAGGAACAGGAAGCCGGGTCTCCGTGTCTGGGTTTAATTGCTGGCGGGGTGCCCGACAGAGAAGGGACTTGCGGACTCGGCTGTGCAGAGAGGACAGCGGAAGCTCAGATGACGCATGATTTCCTTTAAATAAACGCTACACACGCGGCCTGCGAGGGGGAGGGGCGGCCCTGCGGGGACCCCGGGGCCTGGGGGGCCTCCCCGTCGAGGCGTGGAATGGGGTGTCAGTGGTCATGATCGGAGGAAGGGTCTGGTCCTAGGTCCCGCCCGGCGCTACCGTGGTCTGGCCGGCAGGGACGTGGAATTTCCGGAAGGTCAATGGTCCGTAACCGTGAGGGGGGCGGCCCTGGGGCCCCGGGTCCGGGTCCGGGTGCCTAGATGATCTTCTTCAGCTCATCGTATAGGACCAGCACGAAGGCCCCGCCCATGCCCCGCAGGACGTTGGACCAGGCGCCCTTGAAGAAAGCCTTGCCGCCCTCGTCCTTGAAGATCTTCCGCCAGCAGTCGATGGTGCCCGTGTACATGATGTCGGCTCCTTTGCGGCCCGACTGCATCATCATCCGTCGCCGCACGGTGTCGAAGGGGTAGGAGACCACGCCGGCTACGGCCGTCACCGACTGGGCGATCATCCAGCTGATGAAGATGTGGGTGTTCTTGGGGTCAGGGAGCATGCCTTTGGCCGTGTCGTACACCCCGAAGTAGGCCGCCCGGTAGATGATGATGCCTTGCACGGAGACGTTGAACCCCTGGTACATGCCCCGGATGCCGTCGGACTTGGTGATCTGCACCAGGCAGTCCCCCAGGCCCTTGAACTGGCGCTCGGCCCCCGACTTGCCCACGTCGGC